CAGCAAGATGAAACAGTTGTGGGGCCTACAGTGTCCTTTTAATGTAAAAGCCTAAATCTATTTATTTATTGTATCTATTAATCAAAGTTAAAAACTATAAAACAAAACAAACAAAAAAATTAGACAGCAAACTTAAAATAGCATTTTCTTGTGTAACAACTGTGCAATATGTTGACTCTCCATTAATAAAAAAATTGTATATATGTCATCATGGAATGTCCTACTTATTTTATGTAAAAACCTGGGAATATTGAAACAATATATAGCTAGCGCTCACACGCACATAGAAGATCTCAGGAAGGTGGCGGCTGTAATGATCTTGAAGTGTTGTGGAAGAAAGTTTATACTTTTTTTCTCAGCTGGATAATACTTTTACCTGGATTTAAAAGCAATGATCTGAACACTCAAAACAAATGAGAAACAAAGGTAGAGCTCTACTAACAAACAAAAACAAACAGACAGAAGAACAATTTGTGTTAATATGATCAGCAATTAGTTTATTCTGAAAATTAGTAATTTAGTAAAATAGCTAATTGCTTTGTTTTTCTCTTTGTTATCACAACGATAAAGAAAAAAAAGTGTCTCATTAATAGCACAAGTCTCGCTAATTTCATGATATATCTATCTTTTCGTTTTTATGGACAGTTTATAATTACATAGATATGCTTTTTATTCTAAATCGTACATGGATTAATTATCACCCTAATGGTAAATGAAAAACATTCACAACGGCTGCTAGGTAACAATGTTTTAAACACATTTTTGAGAATGCAGGATAACGTTGTGAGCTACATTTAAAAAAAATAAAAAAAATGAAAGAATAGATTTAAAGGCACATCATCGTTACTGTATGAATGCATTGGCTAAATGCAGCAGATCTCCTGAAAACCATGAAATTCAGCTTAATATTTTATTTATTGAACAGCTGAAGGTATGCTTAAGCGAGGGAATGAATACAATTCTAAATCTTTATTGTCTAAGTGCTTCGGAATTCTCATCAGACTTTCACTTACGAGGACTGCCACCAATGAACAGCATTGCTAGGTAATAAATCCTGAAACTTGGTTTTACTTAGCATTTTGACTGCTACAGCAATCTGCCATCTGATGATTAGTCTTCTTTATGATAAGTAGTCTGACCACTGCTGTTTTTAAGCTTTTGCATTTGAATAAATTAAAGCAATGATAAATTAGTATTGTATATTAATGTAGCATATATGTAGCAGGTGATAAATTAACCAGTAAAGATGTAGTTAAACAATTGCATAATATCACATCCCTTCATCGGTAATCTGTCTGCAGGTGGACAAGAAGGGGAAATGGAAATTAGTTAGCAGTTCGAACTTCCACTCATATGATGCTTTTGCAGAATTAAGGCACGCAACATATCACAGGGTTTACAATTCTTCAACTGCTGGAATGTGACTATTCGTGACTTGTGTACATTTTACAGAGTAGTTGCAGATACATGTGCTATAACAAATTATTGTTCCTTTTGAAGATACCATATATTATATACCGTGTGTCAGTTATGCAATGTGATAATGATTGACAGGTAACCATGGGTGCAACAAGATGCCCATAGATCTATAATGAGAGATGTATGAAATTAGTATTTTATCAACAAGTTTGAAAAATTATTTTTGTACATTAATACGTTAATTTAATACATTAATACGTTAATACGTGGGAAATATCATCAATCATGTTCTAAATAACAAAAAGATTTTCCTATTTGCACGTTTTTATTTATTCATTTATACATTAAAGCTTTTACTTATTTTCTGTTCGTGCATACACAGTCAGTGGATCTTTTATTTATGTCTGCTTGTTTGTTTGTTTATTACGGCGATTATCTTAGGATTTCATGAGTTACTCCATTAAATGTTTGCGTTCACTCAAGTAATACGGGGACATTTTAGATAAATTCAGAAATAAGTCAGTTCATTAATAGTTCATATCAATTTGGAGTTGGATCTAAATCATACGGGTTATGATGTAAATGTTGCACATTTAAAAAAAATCAAGGTTATAACAGGGTTAGTCACTAAAGTCAAACTGCAAAAACGCGACATTGTTGATGAAATTCATCTTTGTCCAGATTTTGTAATTGGGTCCAGATTTCATCCGGAACGAATGCCACCAGACAGCTCAAATAAGGACTGAATTAATTAAATCTTGTCCCAGAGACTTCATATCCAGCCCTGATTTTTACAAAATCCAAACTATTTGCTCACTGCAGTGTTGGCAGCCAGTGCGTAAATAGTTTTAAAATCCCTCAGCAGCATGAGGGTTAATTATGTAGTGGCTGGCCAGTGCTTGCTAGCCAGTCGCTAAGTATTAAATAAATAAACAAAAAAAAATCCTATGGGAGTAAATAAAACCCCAATTTTACTAGAATGTAGAGTTCGTACCATCTGGCAGGTGGGGCATATCTCCTAAATATTTTTAAAAATAGCGGCTGGGGAGACAATACAAAAGGCTCCATCCCATGGGTATGGTGAATGTGAAATATAGAGGGGGAGCAAAATTCCCCCCTGTGCCTATACCCATAGGCATCAGGAGGGGGCTACTTTAAATATTCATAGGGGAACCATGACATTGGTGTGGGGGGCTTGATAATCATAATAATAAAGTGTGAGGGTTTATTATTAAAGCGGCACTGTCATGGCCATATCCGTTTTTCTTTTTAACCCCCCTCCCGACTCCGCTACCTCTAATTACCCCCCTAGTCACCCCCAAATGCCCCTAAACGCCTCATATTACCTATTTTTTATCTTTATTTTGTGCCCGGACCTAGGTCCTGGGCGCCGCCATCTTTATGTGGGCAGATGAAGTCCATGAGGGACTTCCATAGCGCTGTAAAATTCCTGTCTCAAAATGTCAATATGACCCCCATATTAGCATAAGGGAGATTGAAATCTCCCGAATGCCACTACTCACTATGCCGCGAGTGAGGGCATGTCTACTAAACAGTGAGCAGCCTGTGACCGATTACTGTTTAAAAAAAAAGCCTCGCTCTAATTAATGGCCCTCATGGTGGGGCATCTATTAACTAGCAGCAACTAGCCCCCACCCGTGCCCCATGAGTAGGGGCTATGCAACTAAATGGGGGACATAGAGTTCCCCCTGGCCCCCACCCATAAGAGGCAGGTGGGGGCCCTAAAAGACAATGGGGGAGGAAGACCTATTGTCCTCCCCTACCCCACCCATAAGTGGCAGCTGAGGGCCATAAATGACAGGGGGTCATTTACCTATTGTCCCTCCTCAGCCCCCACCTATGAGCGGCGGATGGGGGCCCTAAAAAACAATGCGGGGAAGACCTATTGTCCTCCCCCCTGTCCCCACCCATGAGTGGTGGGTGGGGCCCTTAATTACAATAAGAGGTATCTATTGCCCTCCCCCTGACCCCCACCCATGGGGACCCCTAGTCACCTGGGGGGAGGAGGGGTATTTTTTCATTTAGGCCCCACCCATCGCCCCTGGGTGGATCCGAGGGGGGAGAAACAAAAGGTTCCCCCACCCATTGTTGCCCACTCATAGGTGGGGGCCAGGAGGAGGACAATAGTTCCCCCTCCCCCTTTTGTTTTTAATGAACAAACTGTTGTCATTCTGTTAGGGCGAAATTCGGTAGTTTCACCGGCTAAATGACAGGACGTTCAGGAATAGCAGGCATAGTGAGATCACGGAGGAAAGGGTGAGTATTGTGGGAAAATTTCTCTGAGCCACAGGAAGTGGGTCAGAGCAGGTCAAGCGTAGAAAAAATACACAAGACAAAGTAGTCCCTACTTTGTCTTATGTTTTAAAGAAAACTAGTGCAGACAGGAAGAAATGAAGAACAGATACTGAGAAAGGGAGAGAAGAGGAAGCGATTAGGGAAAGTTAAGTTTGGCATGCCAGTGCCGCTTTAACCCTCATCCCTTCTTTTCATAATTATTTAGGGCCGCAGCCCATGGGCAATGGGTGGGGCCCTAATTAATTATGAAAAGAAGGAATTGTCAGGCCATTGTCCACCCCCCAAATAATAGCATATACTCCCCAATCCCTTTGCCACCACTTAAAGTAAATTAAAGTCCCTACCTAACCCCATCACCTTAATAATAGTAAAGAGACCCAATAAATCCAAAACCTGTAAAAAAAATAATTATATTTACCATCTGAAGTTTTTTTCTTTTACTCTGTTCTTCACACGCTAAAAGTGTGAATATAACAAATCTATAAAAAATCTGCACCACTAATTAAATAAATTTTAAAAAGGCCTGATCGCAAAACAAAAATACAGCTTAAAAACTCAAAGCCATGCCAATATATAGAAACAATCCATCTTCACTCAAGGGGGGCCCGCAGCAGGATAGCAGGGAAAGCCCTTATATAGACTTTACCATGCTACATCAGCTTTTAGAAATCGTGGGAATATTTCCCACTCTTTAAACTATGACCAAGAGCACTGTGATTGGAAGGCTAGTAAGCCAACCAATCAGATCACTCTGGCTGCCAAGTCTCGAGAGAATTGAATAACCCTATAGGCCTCTGAATTGCTCCAAATTGTCATGACTTGCTCCTAATGAGTTCAACAAATTACTCCATATTTCAGTACATACCAATCTTTTACAATAAACCGGTAAATATTTGAGGACCAACCCAGCATACGAATCTATTACATCAGACCAGAACGGGAACATTTGCTTAATTTCATGGCAATAATTAATTTCCTTCTTTAATTCGCAGTACTTTTTCTTCACCCTTATTTTTTCAGACAACTTTACCAAAATCTACTTCTATTAACCTTTTCCTTGCTTGGCATTTTTAAATGATTAACGTATGGCATACGCATTATATTTTACGTGTGAAGATTTGCACTCTCATCCTGGGTGTATTATAATGCATTTTTTATCCATTACAAGTACAATCCTGACGAACAAAAATTCTAAATATTTTAAACAGTAATAAAAAACTGATATTTTGTATTGGAGTATTGTACACAGTATTGGAGACCGTATCTTCAGAAGGATATTGATACCTTAGAGAGGGTTCAGAGAAGGGCTACTAAACTGGTTCATGGATTGCGTGATAAAACTTACCAGGAAAGGTTAAAGGATCTTAACATGTATAGCTTGGAGGAAAGACGAGACAGGGGGGATATGATAGAAACATTTAAATACATAAAGGGAATCAACACAGTAAAGGAGGAGACTATATTTAAAAGAAGAAAACTACCACAACAAGAGGACATAGTCTTAAATTAGAGGGACAAAGGTTTAAAAATAATATCAGGAAGTATTACTTTACTGAGAGGGTAGTGGATGCATGGAATAGCCTTCCAGCTGAAGTGGTAGAGGTTAACACAGTAAAGGAGTTTAAGCATGCATGGGATAGGCATAAGGCTATCCTAACCATAAGATAAGGCTAGGGACTAATGAAAGTTTTTAGAAAATTGGGCAGACTAGATGGGCCGAATGGTTCTTATCTGCCGTCACATTCTATGTTTCTATGTTTCTATGTTTCTATAAGCTCAGGAAAAAGTAAAATATCATAATGGTAACACCTAATATATATTTACAAAAGACTTAAAAAGGTATGGGATGCACTTAAAATGCTACCACGATAGATTGCTCCATAAATGTGTTCTAAGCTTCGAATACCAGTACTTAAGAAAAAGTTGTATTTATAAAATAAAATACCACAACATTTCCATGTATATGTATTGATGGTATTATGCATATCTCCGCACATAGCTGACTGCACAGCTAATATCCTCAGAAATTGCATCTCTTAACTCAGGATCACTAATCATCAAAGCCCGTAAACACAAACTGGTTACAAGTCATTCTCATCTGATATTTTTTTTTGGAGGCAGATAAAATATCAGCAATGCAGAAAAAGGAGTTTTATAAAAATGTCAAAAATGAAAGCATTTTTTTTCAGAATAAACGGATTTCAATCGCATACATACATGTGCGTCAGCAAATAGCCACAAATGTAAAAAGCGAACAGATTTGTTGCTCGTTAAAATTGACATGTGTAACGTAATATTTTTATTCCATAGCATGAAAGATCATATAGTTTTGAAGCTACGCTATTTACTAAGCTCATACCATTTATTTGAACTGGCTTCTCTACACTTATTTTAAAGGGTGTTCCAGGCTGGAGTATGCCTCCATTTGTTAATAAATTATAAAACTAAAGCATAAATAAAATGCATTTAAGAAATAGAGATATAAAAAAGATAATCACATTGGAAGTTCCTATTTTTGCTGCAAATCCACAGGGTTTGCAGTTTCCCGCAGTGAGCCATGCTTAGACTAGCACATATATGACATCTGTCAGCCAATCATAGCTTTCAAATTGTTTTCACTGAAAGCTGAATACATTGTATAAAACCCTGCCCAATAGTAGCAACTTCGGTAGTAAATGGTAACCAGCAATGATCTAGAGGGGTCAAGGTTATTTTTTGAAAACTAATTTTTCATTCTGCCATTTGAGTAGACACCACCGCCATTGGCAGTTTGGTGGTGTAGTTGCTGAAAGAGTGGGTCACTTTAGTTGTTGCCTGCTATTAGTTGCAAATTTAAATAATGGTTTGATAGAGGGAGCTAAATTCAATATACAACGGAGGGGAATAATCAGAAGAAGAAGAGCTAGCGACAAAAAGACCCTCTTGATATGGGTACAAGATCTGTAAAGCAGAATGTAGGGGCATTCAAACTAATTTTCAGTGGAATGCAGCATTTACAAATAAAATAGCTTGCACTCTAATAAATGACATAAGATAACGGACAACTAAATTGTAGAAGCACAGTAATTATTGGCATAGGATACAGTCTAGTAAATGCATTGAAATGTACTGAAATGCATACCATGCTTCCTTGGAGAGCTAACATATGGTGCTAAGATACACATAATGACAAGTGACGAAGATGGCAGCATAAAGTTTTAAACCAAAACCTAGTCTCAGCATGGTCGTCACAATCCCCTGGGGAGATCTATACAAATATTTAAAATTATACCTTTAGTATAGAGGAGAATGTACACATTCAGTGATCTGACTTTATTGCAAAAGTTATACTGTCTAATTAACATTAGTAACAACTATGGTTCCTTGAGACCCAGTGATCAACGGATGAAATAATAAAAATGTATAGTATGCACTATTAATTCATCATTTTGGAACACTGGTAGTTATCAAATAAGACAGACAATGCTGGATTAGTATGATACAGTCAGAAATTCAAGTGACCCTGTGAGATCTCCGGAACAAAGTAAAGGCTGGATAAGTGCATTTTACTGGTCCTTAGAATAGCTGGTGTTAGAACGAGGCACAGAATGACAAAGCAAACTGAAAACTGGGTAAGCAGGGAAAAGCCAAGGTCAAAGGAATACAGGAAGTCAATATAACAAGCATATAAAAAGACCCCACAATGGAGTGGTCCACGTCACAAATGATACAGAGCATCACATGTGGCACATTGATTCGGAACTGGAGCAGACGCAACACGTGATAAAGTAGCATGTTGACATCTTATTAAATTAATCATTTCATCATATATAAATACTTCTAAAGCCCTATATGGAACAATTGCAAGCTTTTCAGATTCTCTGTATGAAAATGTAACAATAAACATGAAAACCTGCAGGAAATAAGCATGGTATACATTTTTGCTCCACTCCTCACAGACACCTGACTCTTCAGGAATATTGAAATAGATACGTTGCATACTATTCTTGTTTTTGCCTCATGGAAGCAAGTCAGCTGATCAGTGTCAGCCAAAGATCTAAACCCACTCTCTACTGATTAGCAACATGCAGCTCCACAGTTAGTAATGGTGGTGGGAAGCGGTGCCCGCTGACCCCCCTGGTAAGCCATCATTCTGTTCAAAAAAAGTTTGACTCCTTTACAATAGATGAACATCTGGGCACTCCTGTCACCATAGACACTGCCCTGTGCTGTAGTAGTTGTGGTATTTAAATGTGTTCTAATGTTGTACTATCTGCCTTAGCTAAGCAAGTATACACCTTTTTTTACATCATTGACTGTGTTTATCAAATAATGAATTCACAAGTTAATGTCACATTTTTACTACATTGACTTAAAAATAATTTCTTTTCTGACCATAATTTTTCTTTGTAGCCTGAGAATGAGTAGGATCTGGTTTCCATTGTGTTTTTGTATTGGATTTGTGTATCTATGTACTCCCTGGGATATATGTAATGTATACACTTTACTAATACTGGGTAGAACTCTCCTTTGCCCCAGAACAGTCAGAATTCTCGGTGGCATAAATTCAACAAAGTGAATGGAACTGCTGAATTTACACCACAGAATAAACCATTGAGCATCGCCTATAATCACATATGACTGTGATAACCCTTTTTGTGAGATGTTCTGTTTTCTTTTATTTATTTATTTTTTTCATTAAAGTTTTAGCATGTGACATCAAAATCCTGTTCAGACAAGGCAAAACCAGGGCAAACATTGCAAATGCAGAGGAGAAAGAAACATTGTTTCATTTTTTTTCTATGTAAGCTTTCCCTCTGCTGACCACCATATGCAAGAACAGAGTTTATAACAATGATTGACAGATTAACTGGGAGCCAAGATGGAGGCACCCAGTTGCAGGATTAAGAAGTGTACAATTCTTCATTTCATTTTGTTTTTCACACTTCGCAAATCTATATTTGTTAAACATAGTAATAAGTGAAGATAATATTAGAAATGAAAAGCGACAGGTCCTTGTTAAAGTGGCACTGACGGCAATTTCACTGAAATACCAACCCAGTCAAAATATATACTGAGACAAAGTAGGGACTTTTTTCCACTTCTAGACACTTCTTAACACTGGTCGGAGCTACCAAAGTCAAGAAGTGCCAGTCCCGTAGTCGTCACCAGTAATGGCTGCTGGGAATTGGCTCTGTCTATGGAGGACCCCGCAGGCTCGTTGGATCCTCCGTAGACCTTAATGCTGCTCTCTCACACTTGCACAGTAGAGGAACACTGGGAAGACTATAGTGGTTCCCATAAGGGACAGGTTCGAGTAAGTAAAACTCAAGTTTGTCTGCTACCCCCTCCTCCACGGGACAAAGTGAAATAAAAATTTGAGGTCAAAATATTGAAACTGAAAACAAAATTGACTAGGAGAATTTTTCTAGTTTGGCTATGTTGTCCTAAATTTTGAAATGTATTTTAAATCCAATTTGTATTCCCTGCAAGTCTCAGTTTTGTCAATAACCCTGAGTATGCTTGTGTTGTGTACTTGAATATTCGGTGAGAATATTTTTATTCGAATGTGAAATTGCATGACATATGAGAATATGAGAATGTTAAACGCTAATCAATATATAATTATATCTAAATTGGAGTACAGACAGATACATTCTGTGGCTAATGACAAAAAGAAAAGACTTTTCTAGATCTAGAAAAGGTTATAGATAATTATATATGTAAAACACCACTAAATGTCATATCAGCATAGAAAATCATATACAGTAAATGTAATCTACGGAACGCATAACGCAGCAAAGGGATGTGATCCAATCATGTAAATTGCTGTTGTAACTGCTTTTTGGTAAACTATAATCCAGATATATTATATGGGCATCAGTTTCAGACATGTTTTTCTTCCATTGAGATTCAGTGACGGGGAAAGTGATTCATGAAATATTGTGATAATAGCATTACACTACATTTCCATTTAATAAAGCACAGGAGATTATGATGATGTGAAAGTGCAATTGAAATGGGAATCAAGCGGACTTTCCTAGTAAATGTATAGATTAGATTGCATGAAAAGGAAATTCGATTAATGTTTAAACTAGCTCTACACTAACTGATCCCTGGCAGTCATTCGGTAACATTTCAAGAAAACCAGTTACGCAAATGAGATTAAAACCAACAAATGAATAAATAAATAGCGGAAGACAATTTTTTTTACCGTATAAATAATGGTGTGAATGTAATAACTGTAGCAATTTAGGCTGGTTAGTAATGTGTTAAATAACTGATGATGCTTTAGCAGTAATATCTTACTTATTGGACTAGGATTGAATATTAGAGTCATAAAATATATTGGCGTTTAATTTTATAACAAGTACATTATAACTAAATGTTCTAATGTTATGTTACGTAACATTCATATAATACACAAAATTAGAAATTACTTTAGTTAGAAGGCTCTGACTCTCATTGCAAGGTGAATTCTTCAAAATAAGTCTTTAACCCCTTGAAAATACATGATGTGTTAGAAAC